ATAACACAGCTGTACAATTGAACATATATATATATATATATATATATATTCACATTTATATAATAAATAAATTATATGTCATGAATTGCCGACAAGATGAAATTTCATATATGAAATTTGTATTATGCAAACAATGAAGTAAGATATAAGTTTATGATTATGCATTCTGCTTTATGTAAATTCACATGATAACTCATGAAAGAGAAATAAATAAATTAATTAGTGTTCCAATAAACTATTACATGTAAAAATGCAGTGCAGCTTTTGTCTTCATTGCTATGTATTTTTTATATGCATTCATATACAGTATAGCCATACATAGTCCATGCATATATATTGCAGTACATTGAAAAATATTTTTGCTTTGTAAGCGATACAGCTGACAGTTCTGTTGCTTACTTGGATGGCAGGGTTGTATGCGCATCTTCCTCGGAGTAATGCAGTCCATTTCGACACTAAAGCTGGCTGGTCCTAAATCGGATTGTGGACACCAGAGGAATTATGATGTTACAAAAGTAGCCATAATTAAAATGCAGTTATTCATTGTATAATAGACAAGAGGCCTACATGAATTATCACTTTGAGGCTGGCATTATGAACTCCAGAGTTTGCAATGGACTGGAAACGAGCATCCTTTGAGCTGACCTCAGCTGTAAGATCTTTTATGATTTTTTGCACATCTTCTATGGACTTTGAAACCTGACAATGCCTGAGATCCACCTGACAATAACACATTCGGCCACACCATTAACAGCACAACAGAACAAAATTAGCAACTTATAAACAAACCAAAGCAGTCATCCTTTTCTTTGAGCTATCTGAATAAAATAAAATACAATAAAATATTTAAGTTAATACTTTAGTTCGGTTTAGATCTCAGTACCCATGACAGCATAAATAGGTCACCTGATTTTGTAAATAGTTGTCCAGATCTTCATCTGTGAAGTTGGTCATTTTGCAGTCTATTCTTAGAAGTGCTCTCTTTGAATGCTATTTTTAAGTCTTCTTTCCAGCTGCAAAGCTTGATGTGAGGTCTTTGTGGCCCTTTTTTGTGGTTCTTTTGTGTCCCTGTGTACGTGTGACACAGATTGTGCGAGGGAAAAGCACTTCGGCAGAGACCCATTGATCTCACGATATTGATTTCTGAGATGCTAAAAAGCTGTCATGGTCCTCTGGGCAAATTAGTTCACCAATTGCTTACTCACATGACAGATCACACTCATAGAGAAATTTGAATGTAAACATCTGTTTCATTTTAATCTAG